AAGCCATCCTGTTGACTAGCTATGACTTTATTCTCCTCAAGGCCAGTGTTCACTGATTCCGTCTCAATTTTGTATCCACTTCTTTACAAATTATAAACATCAGGTTTCACAAATGACAGCGTAATTCATATTTCTTTATTTTATATTTTTACATTTTGATTATCTCCTATGGAAAAAGAAGAATATTGTGGCACGGAACAAATATTCCACAACCAGCATGTTCATAATTCAAACAGAGCAGTCACTTGTTTTCAAAAGGAAACATATCTGCTTTTTTCTTAACTCCAAATATCTAACATCTATGTGATTTCCTTGTGATAGTGCCATATTTTTCCAACCATACTGTGTCAGTGGCTAGTTTCCAGAGTATTTATTCCCTTTTAATTCCAGATAGAAGTATCTCAAAAGTTCCACACTTCTTAAGAGTTTGAGTCATCTTTAATTATAGCTCCTGGGGTATAGGGAGGATCAAGTGAGTTAATATTTGCAAAGTTTAAAGCACTGTATAAATGCTACTTAGTATTATCTTTATTTTAAAAATTAATTTATTTTTCATTTTACAAACATTTACTTCTCTCTACCATCTTCTTCCCATACTAGAAAAAACAAAAAAGAAACCCTTACGTGCAGAGTCAAACAAAACAAACTCACTTTGTCCTTGTCCGAAAATGTATATTTCGTCTGGTATCTTGTGTCTATTACTTCCTTGTTAGGAGGCAGGAAACAGTTTTTCATTGTTGATGTTTTGGAATTGCGGTTTGTTATTGTCTTGATCAGAGTTGCTTAGTTTTTCAAAGTTGTATAAACTGTTCTCCCAGTTCTGCTTACTTCATCATCTGCATCAGTACGTACAAATCTTCCCTGATTTTTCTGAAATCATTCTATTCATTAGAGCAATCTAAAACTCTCTTCAAGCTTTTTAAATACCTCAAAGATTCATGACTATACTCGTAACAGGGATGGGAAACCTGTGGCCTTGGGGCCACATGTAGCCTTCTAGGTCCTGGGTGTGGCCTTTTGACTTAGTCCAAGTTTTACAGAACAGATCCTTTTATGAAGATGATTTGTTCTGTGAAATTGGGATTCAGTCAGAGGGCTGCACTTGAGGACCTAGAGGGCCCCATGTAGCCTTGAGGCCACAGATTCCCCAAACTTCTAACTACTTTCCTTATTAAGTATTTAAGATGAAAATTCAATAGAATGGTGTTTGTTTTTCAACTCAATTTTGCTTTCAATTTGGACAAACTATTACTTTCCTTATTAACTGTTTGATTGTACCTTTGCATGTGTGACCAGGGTTATGAATAGAATCTTGAATAGAGTTAGTTTAGGATAGAAAGTTTGAGGCACAATGGGGCGTGAAGGAGAGAGAGACAGACAGACAGACAAACGGCGAGCTTCTGGCAGTGGCCTGGAGATTCGGCAGGAATATAAGAGCCTCTAGAACTATAACCACTGAGGATGTTTAAGAGAATCCGAAGATATGAGGCTGATGTGTCATGGTTCAGAGAAGACATGGTGAGATACAGAGAGAAAAAAATGCTGCTAGCTTTGGTATTAGCATTCCTGGCTTTCTTCTCACTGGCTTTCTCCCTGTATCTTCAGTTTTATCGATTTTGAAGGGTTCTGGTGGCCAAGAGACACTTCACCCATAAGCCAGGCTTGAGGTGTTGTAGTGTTGTATATCTTAGCAGCAAGCAAACCCGCTTATCAGAAAACAGGTACAAATCAGTACTATAGGCATAAGACATTCAGAAGTCAATTTTTCTTTTTGAGGGGTGGTTTTGTGGGGGGGCAATTAGGGTTAAGTGACTTGCCTAGAGTCTCACATCTAGTAAGTGTCAACTATTTGGTCTGAGGCAGGATTTGAACTTAGGTCCTCCTGACTTCAGAGCTGGTGCTCTATCCACTGTGCCACCTCGTTGCCCCCTCAGAGGTCAATTTTCAAGATATCACAAAGAGAGGAAAATTCCAAAAGAATGAAAAAGTACCCTTTACGGATGGTACTGTTATTTTGAACAGGCGACAATTAAGCCATCAGCAATATCCAACCCATATGCCAGATTCAAGTGTCTGTAAAATCTCTGTGAGAATAACCCATATACATAGAGGGTATCCAGATGAAAATATAAAAATGGAACCAGGAGGTTTTTGCAGGTGGTTTTCTACAGCAAATGACATCTTCACTGTCACACAACTAAATCAGAAGCACAGAGAATTTAAAATAGAGCTATGTCTGTAATTTGTTAGTCACAAAAAAAGCTGACTAGAACAAAGATAAAGGCCTAAAGGCTCTTGAGTAAGGTGCCCCCAGAACATTTGTTAAGATTGTACAGGGTTGCATGACAGGTGCACCACAGAGATCACTTTGTTAACACAAGCCTGAAGGTGTTCGCCGGCATCATGGATGACGTGCCATGCCAAATCCCCATAGAAAAGGTTTTGCCTTCTCTAGATGGAGAGTTGTGCCAGATTTTCCATCAAGAGCCCAGCTACTGCAAAGGCTTCCCAGTAGGATCATGGCTTCTTATAGCACATTAGCCTGACTGTCCACTCAGGCGAAACAAAATGGACGAAGAGTAGCTGAGGGAGCCGAGAAAGTTTAGATTGAAGAGAAGACCCAGTGGGGAGTGCGCCTTTCCTCCAGGCAGACGTGTCAGGCTTGTTGTACTTGACCCTGAGGGCCATGTGAGGGACAGGTGAACTGTGCAGAGGCACACAATGAGTGTTGACCTAGGGGAGAACAGGAATAGAATAGGCTGCCTTAGGCTCCATTGGTTTCCTCTTTGGAAGACTGGATGATGATTTCTGTGTTGGAGAGGAGTTTCTTGCTCATGTATTAGTTGGTTTGGAGAGCTTCTGGGATCCCTTCCAACTCAGATTATGTGAAAAAGTCCTATCAGTGAAATTCTGTTAGGCATCCAGACATGAATCCCATTGAGTAACTCCATTTTCTGTGTGGTTGCCTGGTGCACTCAGAGGGAGTTGATGCCAGTAAATACAGTAGTCTGACATGTCACCTAATTTTTGTCAATTTCATGCCTGTTCAGTGCTGAAAAAATATAAATATTCTAAGCTTTGCAGAACATGATGCGTATCTGTACAGATGAGAAGTATTCACTCATGCTAGCTTTGGAGGGCAGAGATAATGCCTTGTTTTCCATAGTCTCTTGTGGCCCTTGGCACAGAGTAGACTTCTTGGGGTGGGGAGAGAGGGAGGAGGGATTGGGCTAAGTTAATTGAAATCTGGTGTCCCAAATGAAGGAGGTGATAAACTCCGTGTTCTGAGCCTAGGTCAGACCACAGCTGAAGAACTGGGTTGGGAGAGGGGCAGGCTGCATTTTAGGAAAGGCATTGACTGGAGTGCATTCAGAGAGGGACTAGCAGAGTAGGGAGGAAACTCAGAGCCGTGTTATTCATAGTCAAGTGATAGAAGTGGAGATGGTTGGCCTGGAGAAGGGAAGACTTAGAAAATACAGACATGTTTGCCATCATCAAATATTTGAGGGGTCGTCACATGGAAGAAGGATTACATTTATTACACTTGACCTTTGAAGTTGGATTTGGGACCATTGGGTCCAGAGAGGGAAATGTGAACTTGCTATGAGAAGGATTTCCTGGCGCGCAGCTAGGTGGCGAAGTGGAGAGTACCGGCTCTGAATTCAGGAGGACCTGAGTTCACATTTGACCTCAGACCAAATACTTGACACTTACTAGCTGTGTGACCCTGGGCGAGTCACTTAACCCCAATTGCCTTTAAAAAAAAAAAAGAAGAAGAAGAAGAGGAGAAGGATTTTCTAATGGTGTTCTGTACATGGTGGACAGGTAATAAATGTTTTTCAGATGACTTAATAATCAGATTGGATGTAACCAGGTTCGGGGTTGATGACCACCTATCCAGAATGTTTCCAAATGGAGTCCTGCTTACCCTGGTGGAATGTGAACTCCTAGAGAACAGAGATTATTTCATTTTCTTCTATGTATCAGTTCTTAGTATAGTGTTTTTCACATAGTAAGCTCTTAATGAATGCTTGGTAATTGAGGTCTCCTCCACTTCTGAAAATAGATAATTCTGTAAATTAAATAGTACTTACAATATTGTGGGGGGGGGGGTGTTCATACTATTTGGGAATAAGTCTTGAGCACATAAAAGACACAGGAAGCACATTAAGCACGTAGGAAAACACAGTGGTTGAACAGTGAACAGAATCTTTTCCATTTTCTCCATTTCCAGTGGTAAACTTTCCTTTGGCAGTGCTCCTAATTAAGTTTGCCTGCCTTTTGAGAAGCTATACATTTGCTTGGCATTTGATAAAAGAAGGGAACAATTTGTTTTCAATTCAGTTCTTTATCTTTTAAGATAAAATTTTTCTGAAGGTATAGTACCCATTATCTGTGTGGGTGGCTTGGAAAACTTCCTGTTTACTACTTCACAAATCTTTTGATAAAGGGAGATAATAATCACATTGTTATTACCCATGGGGTGTTGGCCTCTCTGGTGCAAAGCTTTTGCCAGCATCTTTTTTGACAAGGCGTGGCCCAGAGGTGTTAGAGTTGAGCCTTTTCCCAGAGTTCTCCTGAACACCGGGAGAAATGAGAGTCGGGAAGGAACAAGTTAACATCAGCTTCATTCTTCTCTGTCTTATTCTGGACATTTTGCAGATTGTCTTTAACTTGATCAACATTAACATCTGCTGTATACAGAGAGTACTTGTGCAGGGGCCCACGTTATTTGGGAGATTACAGTTTAGTAGGCGTGATAGGCGATTTAGCAGATGCAGAGGTGTGCGCAAACAGTGCTCTATGCTGGCTAAGGAAGATTGCCTGTCCAAAGCCCGAGATGGACTTGAGGGCTTGGCAGTGGAGTTAGAGAACAGGGCCCGGTCTTGGCCAGCTTAGAGCTCCATGGTGGAACATTGGATACCAGGGGCCCTACTGTGAGGCCTGGGGTTTTACGGTTGTTTCAGTATTCACCCTGATCTTATTTTCTTCCATAACAGAAACCAAAGCCTAAACCCCGGCCATCTATCACGAAGACAACGTGGGAAAGTAACTATTTTGGGGTGCCTTTAAACACCGTAGTAACTCCAGAGAAGCCTATCCCCATTTTTATTGAGAGATGCATCGAGTACATTGAAGCAACAGGTAAGAGCGATAACTTGGTCTTGATCACAGCAGTCAGAATTTCTGCAGGATTCTTTGTAAAGAAAGAATCCTGGAGGAGTGGCCAACAGCATCATAAGGTATTTCTCAGGTCTTAGAGCTCTCTGCTCTGTCATGCTGTAAGCTGTTTCCCAGCTTCCCAGTTTGCTGGTGGTGAGGGGCCGCATGTCAGACAGAGTGAGCATGTGAGAGAGATGCTGAGGGCCAAGGAGGTACATCTCCAGGCGACCCCAAGGACCCTTGTAAACACTTGGATTGCCTCAGTCCTTCATCTCTTGTCATTCCGGGTGTGTGGGCTCCCAGCTCTCTACTTCAGGAATTGTCTTGACTTCAGACCCCAGGAAGTAGGGAGGGTGGTTAGAGGATGAGGGACAGACATTACTGGGGAAGTCACCTGCTGGAGCTGCCACTGTTCTCTGCCCAGCCCACAAGGACTAGCCCTACCTATTTCTCCCACTGTCTGTCCTTCACAAGAATGCCACCTAGACTCCTTGCTAGGGCTCAGGAGGCATTCTCCACTCGAGAAGTTGCCCCATGCCTCCTGTGGGCCCCAGCTGGCCTCACCCAACAGAATTCCACCTCTCAGGGCCTTTTCAGGTCATCACTCCTATACTAGCTACACTCTCCACCCTTTCCTGTCTTGACCCCTTAACTTAAGTCTACACTGTTTCCTACTCTTGAATCCCTTGCTCTCTGGGCTTTTCATCATTCACATTTCACCAATTCCCTGCCATAGACTGTCTCCTTTGCTCTCTCTTGTTCACGTGCTACTGGATGGAGCTGGAGGAATTGTGCTGATTGGGTTCACTAGAGATTTCTGTTCTCTGACCTCATTTGGGCCCCTCACTACAACAGGGCAGCCATGCTCCTGTCCAAACGTCTCCACAGACCTGTTCTGAGTCCTGTTTCCCTGCAAGCTACTGCTGACTCTCCCATTTCCTCCTGTGCTCCCACTGTCTCTTCCTTCTCCTTCCACGTGTGCAAGTGCTTCTGTCCCCCCCAGACTCCCCTGCCATCATCTCCACCTGCTCTCTTCAGTCTCTCCAGATTGCCTTTACACATGCCTGTGTTGTCTCCATCCTTACAAAGCCCTTGTTTGAGCCCACCAACCCCACTATCATCTCATGTTTTCCCCTCCTTTGACCCCTAGGTGGCACAGTGGAGAGAGCATTGGGCCTGGAGTCAGGAAGACCTGAGTTCAAATCCAACCTCAGACACATAACAGCTGTGTGGCTCTGGGCAAGTCACTTTATCTCTGCCTCAGTTTCCTCAACTAAAATAATACCAACCCCTGCCTCCCAGGATTGCTGTGAGGCTCAAATCAGATAATTATAAAGCACTTAAAACAGTGCCTGGCACATTGGTGCTATGTATGAATGCTTGTTACCCTTCCTTCTCGGCTACGTGTATCCTTCAGAAAGCCATCTATATCCATTTCTTCTCCTTAAAAAACAAAAAACACAACAACACTTTTTAAAAAACAAATTCCTTTTGCCTTTATACCATCAACATCCCCTAGCCCTTTCAGGAGGAATCTTAACTTGTTTTAAAAAAAAAAAATTTAAGCAAAACCAATTATTAATTAATGTTGATTACATGAAACAGTGTGCACAGTGTATTGTTCTAGGAGGTTCATCTTCTTTCTTTCTGTTCCCAATGATAAAGAACCAAAACAGAGGGGGGAAGTTCAGTTCAACAAAACTAATGCGTGTCTTAAAAAGTCTGATGTTCTGTCGAGTTTGACCTTTGGGCTTTCCCACCTTTATAGATAAAATGGGTCAGGTATGCTCTTATCTCTTCTTCAGTGTTTGATCATAATAATTTTGCGTAATCCAGTTGTGATTGCGTTTTTCTCCTCTCCTCAGTCTTACAAGGAAACTGAGGCCCAAGGCAGGTAAAATGTCTCCTCCTGCTGCCCCCCTTCCCTGAGCACAGAGAGGGAGTCCCCGAGGCAGTGTTGGGGCCTCGCTTCTGTGGTCCTCTCTCAGCATAGCTGTGCTGGGCTGTATGGCTTCTTAGTTCTGGCGTTCTGTCCTTGCAGTTTCTTTGAGCTGTGACATTTGGGGTTCTAAGGTCCCTTCCTCCTGGAATGCTCCGTGATTCCTTTAAGAATATTGATATTGATGCCTTTAGTTTCTTCACCCCCTTCATTTCCCTCCTCTGGAGAGCTTTCCCTTGTCACACAATAAAAAAGAGAAGTAGTGACGGACCAGCCCATCAGCCAAGCCATGTGTTGTGTTACTGCAGTGAGGAGCCCATCTTTTGACGTGTTTAGATCCATGAACAAGGAATGGTTTTTTTGTCCGAAGGCATTTGAGCTCCTTGAATCTGGTAAATCTCAGCTCAGTCAGTGGCTAGTGGGAGAGACTGCTTGGCTGCCTGGGAATCGGGCATCATTCTGAAGCCTGCCCCTGTCATTGGCATGGCAGTGTTCTTCTCTCTATTTGATTTTTAATTCTGTTCTTCCTGATTTTTCACTTGTTGCTTCCAGAGCCTTGCAGGCTTTGATCTTGAGGGAGTACCATTCAGGTCACATGGAACTGGGTTCAGGAATATAAGCTTAGCCCAACAGGCCAGCAGCCTGATAAGCAAACAGCAGTCAGTCAGCTTTTATTAAGTGACTGCTATGTGCCAGGCACTGGGAATACAAAAGGAGCAAAAGACAATCCCTGCCCTCAAGGAACTTACCATCTAATGGGGGAGACAACATGCAAACAGATATATACAAAGGAAGCTATACACAGGATAAAAAGGAAATTATTGAAAGAAAGAACTGAAAGGAGGGGGATGTTAAAGGGCAGTCTGTTGCAGGAGATGAGATGGAATGGGATTGCTTGAACAAGTAGAGGGATTTATAGTCTATTTTTTCTCTCTAATCACAACATGATAAAAAATGATGCAGTATCATGAAATATGGACTGACTGCAGCAGCCTACTATAAATTTCATCAGCACCCTCTGGAGCTGGGTTTCAGCATTGACATTCCAACTGTAGAGAACTCCATGCCAAAGGAGGAGAATGAGACTGTAGAACCTGAGTGTTGGAAAGGCCTTTGAGGACTACATACTCCAGTCCCCTAATTGTACAAGTGAGGAAACTGAGGCACAAAGGTGGACGTGTTTTGGCCAACCTGCCAAAGAAAGTCATTGGAAAATCCAGGGATGCAGCCTAGTTCTTGAGACTTCCATTGCAGTGATCTTCCCACTCTGCCTCCTGCTGAGGCCCATTGGGTTGTCCAAGGAGCACGATGTCAACAGCTTGTCCTCTTGAGTCTCCATGTTGGTGAATCAGGGTACACTTTGTTCTCATACCCCAGGCCTACAGAGATTCATTTAATTAAAGCTCTTATCCACTCCCATTGCAGTGAGGATTCTTCCTGAGAAGGGTCCTATTTCATAGGATCATCTGTTTCAACTTAGAAGGGACCTTAGAGGCATCAGGTGCAGCCCCTTCATCTTACAACTGAAGAATCTGATTCAGGAAGGTTAGTGTGACTAATCCATCATCTCCCAAGTCAGAGGCAGGGTCTGAATTGAGTTTGTTCTTATTCAAGCCTTGCGCCCTTAGCCCATGCCTGACACCCAGCCAGCCTCTGTATCAGTACTTATCTAGCCCTTCCCTTTCCCACCTAGCTGCCAGAGTTTTCTTCCCTGTGCTTCCTGCTTAGCAAGGAGGTCTGGGCAAAGCTTGTTTGAGCAGTGGTAAGCCTATCTTGGTTGCTGACCCAGCCTTCTGGAAACAGCAAGTTTGGGGAATCATTTCACCTATGAAGTGTTTGGATAGTCTTTGTTTCTTACCACATAATAACATTCCGTTCCATTCTTGCATCACAGTTTATTTAGATAGCAGTTGGTGGCACAGTGGGGAGAGTGCTGGGCCTGTAGTCAGAAGGCTTGAGTTCAGCTGTGTGACCTTTGGCACATCACTTCATCTGTTTGCCTCAGTATCCTCATCTGTAAAATGGGGATAATCATACCACCTACTTCCCAAAGTAGCTGTGAAGATCAAATGAAACATTTGTTTTTTTTAAAAAGCACTTATTCCAGTGCCTGACACATAGTAGATGCTATATAAATACTTATTCACTTCCCCTTCATTCCCCAGTTATGGGGATCTACTTTGTTTCTAGTTCTTTGATAACACAAAAAGTGCTACTGTAAATAGTTGGTGTATATATGGACTCTTTTCTTGTCAGTGACCTCCCTGGGGTATAAGCCTAGTAGTGGTATCTCAAGTCAAAGAGTTTAGACAGGAAAGGTAAGAGGGGGTCAGGTGAAGGGTAAATAGAGCATTTTGTATCTAGTCATGGAGGCAGTAGGGAGCCATTCAAGTTTGGGGGTGGTGGTACATGGTCAGACCTGTACTTCAGGAAAATCATTTTGGCAGCTTAATAGAGGATGGATTGGATTGGAGAGAGATTTGAGGCAGGCAGACCCCCTAGCAGCTATTACAGTAGTCTAGGCATAAGGTGATGAGGGTCTGCACCAGAGGACTGGCAGTGTCAGAGGAGAGAACGGGCATATTAGAAAGATGGTGCAGTGGTGAAATGCCTTCACAACAGCTTGGATATGGAGGGTAAGAGACAGGAGCCAGGAAGACCCCTAGGTTGGGGGAGTCTGAGAGGACGGTGTTGCCCTCCACAGTCATAGGGAAGGGGTGGGGCGTGGTTTTGGGGGGCAGATACTGAGTTCAGTTTGGATATATTTAGTTTGAAATAGCTACTGGATCCTTTTCCTTTGATCTCTTTGGGATATAAATCTAGTTGAGATATTGCTGAATCATATGCTCAGGTTGATAGTTTTTTTTTGACATAGTTCCAAAGTTTTCTCCAGGATGGTTGGACCAGTTCACAGTCCCACCAACAATGCATCAGGGTACCTCTTTTCCCACATCCTCTCTAGCATTTGTCATTTTCTTTTTCTGTTATCTTAGCCAATCCGATGAATATGAGGGGGTACTTAAGGGTTATTTAATTTTCATTT